TAGTTACATAATTTAAAAGGCCTGCTTTCCAATGATACTTAAATTGTCCAGGGCATGTGATGAAGTATAAAATTGAATACCACAAGCAACGCAGACTCAACTCGCATTAGGTAATTACAGCACAGAAGCGGGGCCTAATCAGAGGAGCGGCGTTTCCATCAGCGGTCTCCACATACATTCCCGAAAGCCCTTCACATCACTCTCTATGTGGAGCCGCAAAAATGCCTCCTGAATCCTTTTGGGTTAGCCAATCTGTTTGCTCAGAAACCTTCCCGACAGGGAGGCCAAGGCATCTGAAATGCTATACTCTCATATCAATTTGAAAACTCTAAGCTCAGAATAATGCATGAAATTCAATGCACCCGTGGTGGCAGAAAGGGGGAGATTTTTTTTTTTTTTGCCCCACCGCTGGAAAGGCTGAACATGGTAAAGAGTACAGCTGAGGTCCGCCAGCTGGTCTCTGCGCAGAATTAGTGATGCAGAATCTTTCCAAATCAAGAAATCTGGTGAGAGGCCGCCCATGCTTACGCCCTAGACAAGCATTTGAACACAGGGTCTCAAGCGCTTTATGCCCAATGTGCTTATGCCCCTGAACATGATTTTGAGAGAGAAACGCAGAGGGAAAACCCTCTTCGAAGCCATCCCTGGATTTCCAGCCTTCCCTAACTTGAAAAGATGCAGGCGCTTGCTATTACCAGGCTATAAATATGTATCCGAGGAGAGAGAAAAAAGCAGACAGACAGCGATCAGAGAAAGGAAGAGAGAAAAAATAAAAAGCACCCCGTCTTGGCTATCAAAACATTATTAAATTCACTCCTTTGACATTCTGACAGTAATTGCACTGAGAGGGATTGGATTTTGTTAAAATTACTTTAAAAGGGTGGTTTGCGAATTTCCTGCAGCCGAGACCAGCATGCGAGGCCCGGGCAGGCGGGCTTCTGCTCGGGTTTGCTCGGGTTTCCTTGTGTCCTCCCTCGGGAGAAGCTTGGCCCACCTCTTATTTCTGACAGCTCTGGCGGAAACCCCCGGATCCCTGAGAAGGCGCCGCCAGCGCCAGCCTCCAGGCTCCTGTTTTTGCTGCAGCAATGAAACCAGCGTCTATGCTAGGAGGTCCCACCTCTGTCACCTTAATCAACAAAGACAGACCAGGCACCTGGCGAACGCCCTTTTCCTAATCATGGCAGGGCTGCAACTGTGCGGGCAACACCAGAGCCCGTCGGGAGAGCTCAACGTAGGGCGTGCGACTCACTTGTCATTCCCGGAGGTTCCCTTCCCTGCTGACCAGACGCACAGAGACCTCCACGCACACGTGATCTCATGACAACAAGCGTGACTTGAACTACATGCGTGAAAAGGTCCTCCCCCATGTCGTGAGGGGACCGGCTGCCAGATGGTCCCTGGGTGAGGCTGGCTCTGGGAAACCCCTGAGCAACAGAGCTCCAAGAATCCCCCGGTGCCAACCCCACTCGTAAGGGGTCTTCCCTCTCTGCCTTGAAAAGAAAATCCAAACCCGCTGCCATCGAGTCAATTCTGACTCTCAGAGACCCTATAGGGCAGGGTAGAACTGTCCCGGTGAGTTTTTGAGTCTGTAACTCTTTAAAGGTGTAGAAAGCCTCGTCTTTCACCCATGGAGCAACTGGGGGTTTTGAACTACTGACTTTGCAGTGAGCAGCCCAATGTGTAACTAGCGAGCCACCAGGCCTCCTTGAAAACCACCCCAACACCAAACACCCTGCCATCGAGTTGACTCCAACGCGCAGTGACCCGAGGGTTTCCAAGCCTGTGAATCTTCATGGAAGCAAAGAGCCCATCTTCCTCCCTCGGAGCGGCTGCCCGGTTCCACCTGCTGGCCTTGCGGTCGGCTGCTGTCCGACGTGTAACCCCCTGCACCACCACCGGAAAACTCTCGAGGAGGGGTGGAGAGCCCTTTCCTTCAATCATGAGAATAGGAAAGGTTTTTCAAACAAATCAAAGGCACCCTGAGATGTTTGTTATCTACTGACTCTATGTCCCCCTAGCTCCCACCCCACCCCCTAAAAGATACGCTGGGAGCCATTTGGATGACAAAAGGCCACCTGCTCCAAGCTCTGGTGTCTTCAACCCCCAGGTGGGCACGCAGCCGCTGGAGGATGCAGAAGGAAGGCTGGAAGAACGGACAGCCTGGAAGGATGGCGCTGGCCAAGAAGGAATGGGTGAGTCTCGGAGGCAGCACAGCCAGAATGTACCTTAGCCATGAGATTCGCCTTGCCTACTCTGGACATAGGGACCAGTCCCTGGAGAAGGGCATCAGACACCGGTCCACGATGCAGCACCGTGCTCAAGGAGGTCTGGCCCATTTCTCCTGCACACCTCGAACCCCTCAGAGGAAGCGCCAGCCTAAGGCACATAGAAACAGTCACTCATCTGGGAACAGTTTTTCCTTTGTTAAGTAGGTGAGACCACCTCTGTGTAGTGTGTGCCTTAAACCTACTGCTTTTGAGCGGATTACCTAACAAGCAGGGAAGCACGGGCTTGCTTATGTTTACTAATCTGTAGTGAACAATCTCCCTTGCATTTGAGAGACAGGGCAGTCAGGGCTTGGAGCAGAATCCTGGATGCAGTTGGAAAACGTACAGTTGTTTACTACAGATGAGTAAGCCTCATATTGTCAGTATTCACCTGGTGTACTGGGTATTCAGACACTGCTTTTGAGCGGCACCGGGACAATGTGGTACCTTCGCCTCTTCTGGTCCAAGTCCATGGAACTGTGGGACAGCGCGACAGGCCCATGGAGGCAAAGGCCCAGATGACCGAGGGACTGGAGAGACTGGGCGGCCGGCCGGCTGCGGACTGGCGTTGCTGTGGACCAGTGACTGTCTCCTTACTGTCTGCTGATCCTGGCTGGTGTTAGCCTGTCCACTTCCCTAATAAACCCACTTAATCATGAGGGAGGTGGGGGGGATGAAAGAGTTTCCTCAAGAGTTGCCATGAGACCCAGCCCTTTCATTCCTCTGAATCTGCCCCAAAGAAGTAAGGACACACAAACGGCATCAGGAAGTTCGCCCCAGCACTATTCACAAGGGCCCAAGAGTGGAAACGAAGAAACAAATGGGGCACATCCATCCGATGAAGTATCATGGAGTCATCAAAAAGGAAAAGCCGCCAGACACAAAAGACCAAATAATGTATGGTGATGTTTCTTCGAAACATCCAGAGTAGGCGGCTAGGGAGCGACGGAGGAGTTCCTGGTGGCACGAAAGGGTAAACGCGCCCAATGGCTAACCAACATTGGGATGACTCAGAGGTAGCCTGGTGGTCTGCTTCCGGAACAGAGCAGCCATGGGCAACCCTGGGGAGCACAGCGCCACTCGGACTCACACGCGTCTCCATGAATCAGAGTCAACTTCCCCACAGCGGGTTATTCACACAGGAAAGGCAACAGTGGCTGTGCACTACTGTGGTTGCGGGAGGGTTTGTGGGGAGGGGGGTTTGACTACCACCGGGTATCCTATTTCTTTGGAGGGTAAGAAAAATGTGCTCAAATTAGTCAGTGGAAATGATTGGCTACACAAACTCTCAGATATACTAACAGCCACTGGTGAATTTTATGGTTATGTGGCTTATCTTTAAAAAAACCACGCACACAAAAGTGTGCATATGTATTTATAGAGCTATACATACTTTATGCCTTGATCTTGTTCCTTCGAAGGAGAACCAATTAAACACGGGCCTCGATTTCTTTCAACACCCCAGAGCTTTTTTTCTTGAGGATAATCTCACGAAAGAAGAACCAGGCATTGGCTGGTGAAGCCAACCCTTTTGAAGAGGGGAAGAAGGCATGTGTATTTGGTTGTTTTATTCTTTTTCAGTCCAGCTTTGCCACCAATGGCAGCAGTGCTGAGAATTTTTTTTTAAGTTTCATTTTCACAATTATGGGCAAAGCTGGTTTGGTTTATGGGAAATCTCCTTTGCTTTTAGGGTAAGTGCACTATTCAGACGGCAATTCAATTCACCAGATTAAAATAACTATAAGCACTTACAATATGGGAAGCCTGCAGCCCAGATGACATAATGGCTACAAGCTGGGCTGCTAACCTCGAGGTCAGCAGTTCAAAACCCACAGCCAGTTCAGCAGGAGCAAGATGAGATTTTCTACTCCCATAAAGTGTTACAGTCTCGCTAAGAATCAGAACTGAGTCGGTGGGCGTGAGTGTGGTTTATGTGTAAAGCACTATAACGATCCGAAGAGGAGGAAGATGAGCTGACAAGGAGTTACATAGTGCTTACTATGTGCTAGACCATTTCCAAGCACCTCCCGTATTGTTGAGGATTTAATGTATCCCTAAAATATGTATTGGAGTCCTAGCCCCTAAACCTGTGAATGCGACCGTATCTAATATAAACACTTTCCACACTGCAATGCAATGTCCTATAACCCAGTCATCAGTCAGGCATACCAGGATAAGCTGGAGCACACAATGTATGCATCCATGCATGTACTGAGGAAGGCAGATGTCATGTTGGAGAAAGTCTAGGAATAGTAACATGGAAGGAACAGACGTGGCTGACTCTGATTTGGGCGTTTTTAGCCTCCAGAACTGTGAGAAAATAGATTCCCATTCTTCAAAGCAACCCGCTTGTGGTGTTTGTGTTACAGCAGCCTTGGGTAACTAAGACACCTATTTAAACTCATTTTCCCTAACTATACCAATCACAAGATAAGGGTCATCATCATTCCAAGGTCGAAGCTGAAAAGACTGAGGTTCCGAGAGGTGAAGGCACTTGACCAGGGTCCCACAGCTCTGAAACAGCAAAGGCAGGATGCAAATCCAGGCAGTCCGGCTGCTGCCTCGCCTCTCGTACCTCGAATGCTGGCATCAACCCACAAAACAAGTTCATAGACCAACCGTGGAGCATTGTAAAACTAGTTGCAGTTATTCATACGTGCTTACAGCGTGTTGGAAAACTGTGCCATCTACTTGGCCCGGAGTCAGCTCTCACCAGTGCGGCCTGGCCCTTACCTGTGGACCACGCCAGCCCGGTGCAGATGCTCCACTGCAGAGATGAGCTGCCGGATGTATCTGCGGGCCTCTGCCTCCTCCAGCCGCTTCTTCTCGTAGATCTTGTGCATGAGGTTGCCGCCGGGGCACAGCTCCATGACCAGATAGTAGCTGTTTTCTGTCTCCAAGATGTCAAGGAGCTGGGTGATGTTGGGGTGACGGATCATCTGCTGGATCTGCCCCTCTCGCCGAAGGTTTTTGGTGACATAAGTGTCCTTTTTGGCTCTCTTCTTATCGATGACTTTTATAGCCACCTAAGGAGAAGTCAAGAACAGGGTTATCTTCAGACCTTACAGACAAAGGGCACGGCTTAACTATCAAGCACTCAGGAAAACACACAGTGACTCCATGGCCCTGGGGGTGAGGGGGCAGGGGGAGCCTTCGTTAAATAGCATCAAGGTGAAACAAAGTTCCTGGTGGCACAAACAGTTAAGCAGTCCGCTTCTAACCCAAATGTAATATAATCCATTCATCAGTTTCAGGTATACCAGTATAAGGCTGGATCCCACCTAGAGGCACTCGGAAGAGAGGTCTGGCTATCTACTTCTGAAAACCCAGTCCCTGAAAGCCCTGTGGAGCACAGCTGTTCTATTGTAGGGGTGCCAAGAGTCAGAATCCACCCAAAGGCAACTGGTTTGGGTTTGTTTTTTTAAGAGGAAGCTATGGAGGGAGGGAGAGAGAGGGAGAGACAGAAAACATAAGGAGAGAGAAAGCAGGGAGAGGAAGGAGGGAGAGAGGAAGGAAGGAAGGGAGGGAGGGGAATATCAAGGAAAATAAATTCAAAAGACAGTCTTCTTAGGAGAAGGAATAAAATGCACCAAAGCAAACATGAATGGTTGTCTGGAAGGCTTAGCAAAGGTGTCATGCCAAGCTGGATTCTAGGGACATCAGCATGAAAACCAAGTTCTCCTGGAGCGAAGGGCCTGCCTCTCCCTCCAAGGCCTTGTCACCAGCCCCCTCCAGATCTGGTCCTGTCCACAGGCCCCCCTCTTCTGAAGCAGCCAAATCGATGCCCATCTGCAGTTCCAGGGCTGGGCGGTGCAATGCCCAAGGATGCAGCAGCCTTGCTGGTCTTCCTCCCAGTCCCTTTACGGAACTAGACCAGGCCCCCTCTGGACCTGGAAGGTTCCACTCTTTCCTTTGGTAAACTTGTGTTAGTTGTCATCAGTCAACTCCAACGCTCTGGACGCTCCCCTGCCCCTCCTTCATGGTGTTTGGTATGATCTAGTCCATTGCTGTGGCCACGTGTGTTTCCGTGCCTTGAAACCATCATGACATAGTAGTGAAAGTGCTTGGCTGCTAATTCAGAAGTCCAGGGGAGAAAGATGTGGCAGTCAGGGCTGTAAAGAAAACAGCCTTGGAAACCCTCGGAGGCAGTTCTACCCGTTCCTATCCTCCCACAGGATCACTACCAGTAGGAATCGACTCTGTGGCAATGGGTTTGGGGTTGGTTTGTTTTTCGCTTTCCCAACCAAGGTCTCATCTTTCGGCACAATCGGTATCAGACATCACTTGCGACTCACAGGCTTTAATTGGACACTTTTTGGAAGCAGATTACCAGGCCTATCTTCCTAGGCTGTCTTAGGCTGAAACCTGCCCACCAGGAGTGAGCCTGCTGGGATTTGAAAGACATCGCTTCCGGCATCATTGGCACCATGCCCTGACGGGTCAGTGTGGACATACCCATGCCTGGGTATGTGGCTGTGACGAAGAGGGGAGGGAGGGAAGCTGCAGAGTCCAAGAAGTTATGTCTCTGCTTGACTCTGCATGGCCTGTTTCACTTTTTCAGTCTTTTCTGAAATTACACCCTTTGGCAATGAAATTCTTAAGATACCAAGAATAAACAGTAGTCTAAAAGCCCAATAGTAATATGATCTGCCCCCTTTAACAGAGCCCACAATTAAATTAGGCTAATTTATTTAGCTCTTCAATTGCATGTAGTATACTGAATAATGGCCACCCAAGATATCAAGTCCTAATCCCTGGAATTTATTTGCCTTATTTGGCAAAGGGTCTTTGTAGATGTGATTAAATGAAAGATCTTGAGATGAGGTGATCCTAAATTATGAAGGAGAAAGAATTGAGGGGGGCAGACTGAACCAAGTTAAAATTGAATTTCAGGTCCAAAAGATGCACTCTGCTCCGGGCTCTTTCTTCTCTTCTCCCAACCGCACTGGCTTGTTCAACTCTTTCACGTCTCACAATTGAGATTAACTCAAAAAACAGCCTAATCATGTAGATTTCTTTTTTTTTTAATCATGTAGATTTCATCCAGCCTTATTAACATAACTTCCCCTAAATCGGCCTCATTAACATACAGGTGAGGATTTTTACCTGTAGGATAATTACATCAGACAGCAAAATGGAGGGTAATTACATAATTCAGATCCTGGCCTGGTCAATCTGACACATAGTTGGGGGAGACCTAATCCAATATAACAAGATTCCTCTCCGTTTTCACACACCAGCTGCCACCAGACTTGTTCTGACTCATTCCCTAAACTTGTGAGCTGTGCATCGATGATGATGATAGAACGCGGCTGTGGATTCGAAAACCACTTCACGAGCTGGATTGGCGCAGTGCTGAAGCAACAGGCGCAGCCTTGGGCGTGATGGCGAGGCTGGGACAGGACCAGGCAGTGTTTGTTCTATCGCTTCACTAGCGGTTGGAATCGACAGGTACCTCACAAAGAAAACAGAAATAAAAATCTACAACAACTGAAATGGAATTGGTCAGCGATGACTGGCGAGGAATCTATCAAGTTGAATTCCACCGTGGCTAGATATGCCAGCCACGAAGAGCCTTCTCGCCCAGGGGAATGAGCCCAGGACAGCGATGGCACTCTAGCTGAAAAGATAGACTGCTTTCGTCTGAGAGTTGAAAGACACGCTCTTTCTTTTCAAACAAAAACTGCAACTGCAACTGAAGGTGGCTAGAATGGAAAGCCGGGGAGAGGAGGCTGGCAAGCCAAGGAGAGGCACTGTGAGACTGGCGGCCAGAGCAGACTGCTCTTCAGGGAAGCAACACAGTGAGCAAGCGACAAAGGCGTGCGCTAGAAGGGGGCACTTTTTAAAAGCACGGTCTTGGAAGCTATTCGAGATGAAGAACGAGCAGCTCCACAGTAGAATCAGGGAGGTGAGAACCCTGACTTAAACCGTTAGCCTCAAAACCAAAAATCAAAAAACGTGTTACCGACGGACGAACCCATGGCAAGTCACAGTGCACTACAAAACAGAGTAGGGCTGCCCTGTAGGTTTTCCAAGACTGCAAGGAAGCAGACTGCCTCAACTCTGCCTGGTGGATTTGATCCACTGGCCTGGCATTGGCAGCCATGTGCTTTAACCTCTGTGCCAGGCTCCACCCTTTGGCCTCCAGAAGGATGAGAATGTAGACTTCCATAAAACCATCCACTTTTTTGTATTTGTGTTGCAATAACACTCACTCACTGCCATCAAGTCCAATCCAACTCACAGAGACCCTACAAGGCAAGGTCGAACTGCCCCTGTGGGTTTCCATGACTGTAACTCTTTATGGGGTTGGGGGGAACAAGCCCCGTCTTTCTCCATAGGGTGGCCAGTGGTGCTGACATCGCATAACCACGATGCCAGCAGGGCTCCTAAGCAATCACCCCAGAGCAGCGGTCCTCTACCTCCCTAAGGCCGCAGTGACCCTTTCACACAGTTCCACATGTGGTGGACACCCCCAACCATAAAATTATTTTCGTTGCTAGGTCACAACTGTAATTTTACTATTGTTATGAATCGGGCGACCCCTGTGAAGGGGTCTCGACCCACAGGTTGAGAACCACTGCCCTAGGGAGTGAAAACAATGTCTGCGTCGAGCTTGAGAGAGGAGAAAGAAAGGATGCTCAGGGATTGTCCCTCATTAGAGGAAGCCAGTTGCAGGGAAGAATTCATGCCTGATGCCTCCATAGTGTGTGCGGTAGTTACACAAGTCCATGTCAACTTATAAATAAGAAATGGCCTTCTCATCAAGCTCAGAAGCAACAAAGCCCACCTGGAAGAAGCACACCAGCCTATGCAACCACGAGGTGTCGAAGGGATCAGG